AGAAGCGCTGGTATGACGGGGACTTTGCGCCTGTTTGCCTTTCATCCGAGCCTCTTTGATTAGGTAAGTGTAGTATTGGACATCAAAGAGAAGAGCTCGAGCGAAACCTTATCTACAGGTGAGGGGCCCGTGACCTCGGTGTAGTATCAGTCAGACATTTTTAAGTAATTCTGACACCCTATGGTAAATATCAGAATTATAAAATTTTTTAAATTTACTACCCTATTACGGGAGTGATAAAATTACCTTTTCTATGTTGAGCATGGTCCTTGTTATTAGAAAACATGGGTGATTCAATTGTTTGTTGTACCAGAATTAAAAAAAAATATAATGATGATGAAGGAATCATGGCTAGTAGTAATACGCGCATATCTCTCAAGGCAAGTATGATTATTGCATTGCGAGTTTGGTATATTCTTACAATACATGAATTAATAAAAAATCTTTAATAATAAATAATATTCAAAAAAAGGAAGTCGGAAGTCGGAACGGTCATCTTTTATTTCAAAATGGTGAATTTTATAAATTTAAGATTTTTTTGTTTTGTTTAAATTTTTAATTTATATATAACTTAAGATCATTATCATGTAATAATAATAAATTAATAAACTAAATAAAGAAATAAATGAATAAACGAATTATTTGTTGTAATATTTAGTCGTTCATCGTCTAATGATTTCACTTTTCTTTTCAATGATTTCAATGTTTTAAATTCTTTATGATCTAATTGGATTTATTTTAGAAACTTGGAAATTTTTGTTATTCGCGCACATCTGGATAAATAATCTATCAAATTTAGAAGCTTGGAAACTTTTGTTACTTGCGGATAAGCAATCTATCAATTGTTGGTTTATTGATTTATTGTAGAAAATTTGGAAAAGGTTGCTACTCGAAAACATTTGGACAAATAATCTATCAATTGTTTGTTTGTATTGGTTTATTTTAGAAAATTTGTTGCTTGTATTGTTTTGTTGCTTATTTTAATGCTGACTGATCTTTGATTAAAAATAATCTATTTGAAAAGTATCCGGCCGGATACTTGGCAGATGACCCCCACCAAAAATCCGTTATGACAAACATTTTAATTAATATTAATATTAATAAAAAAAGGCCAATATTTAAATCTGTTGTAACAAGAAATCCGCTGGGGCGAGATCCGCTATGACGAGGTTTGACTGTATGTTGTTTCAAACTCTGATAATTTAAGAGCATTTTTATTTTATTAATAATATTATCGCATTATTATTACGCATAGTTAATATTAACTTCTAAATCAAAATCGAAAAAAAACATCAAATTAACGCAACTCCATAAGGTCATTTTATGATATATTTCGTTTACATGGTTATCATTACTATTAAATAATAATAAATAATAATCTATTAAACTTATGTAACGTCAATTAGATTTAACATTATTCAATTTATTATTTTTGCGTTTGAGAATGATCAAGTAATTCTACTACAACTTGGAAATAATTTTCATCTATTTATTTATTTATTTATTTTTTTTGGGGGATTAATTACAATAACTACTTTCTTTCAAAATTGGTTAACATTTCAGGTTTTTTTAGAGATTAATTATAATATTATTATTATTAACAAAAAAAAATATATAACAGATAGCAACATCAATTCAACTGTCTTTACTGCCTAATCAATCAAATCAACCAACAAAAGGACGTAAATTGCCGATCGAGATGATTATTTAGAGCCACCAAAGCCATTGTTCTTTGGAGTCGAGGGAAAGAACATATCTTTTTCTGATTACTTAATAAATTTTGAGGCAAAACAGAAATTATTTTCTATACTCCTCATGTTCTAAATTGAATAAAGCGGTATGGGAATACTCCTACATTAACCTTGATGAATCCTAACCAGAAGAATATTGCCGATGGAACTTGAAAAGAAGGACGAAAGCTGATCTCGTTCTTCATTATAGTGAACAGCCATCCTTTTTTTAACTATTAGTAAAGAAGTTATTTTTCAGTAAGTCAGATGGACTAAATTTTTTTTTTTTAATAATAATATTTCGTTTTTTTTTTTTAATTTCCAAATTACGAATTCATTTCCATTTGAATCTTTCACTTTTTCAAAATGCTTCCACACAAAACCATGTGTTACGATTCGTTTTTATAAAGGTCTTCTGGAACCACCGCTTAAATCATTGAAACTTAAAGCCAATGAACTATTAGGCTTTGTATTAGAAGTGTTTATTCATTCGCATGTAAAATTATCATCAGCAACACCACTACTGTTGTCGTCATCATCATATTGATGGTATTGATACTCTTCCGCATAGAAATTTTCCATTTTGAATGATAAAACACAAAAATCGTAATTGGTCAGACAATAATAATATTAGCATAGTATTAGTATTAGTAGTATTAGTAATCGAATAGTTAGTCAACGAAAATAGTCAACTAAATAATTGACTAAAATAGTTGACAAAATAATCAATTAAAATAGTCGAATATTAGTTGTTCAAAAAAAAGCTTAGTCAACTATTTTAGTCGATTCCAACCTCTATTATTTTGAAAGATAATTCTTTAATAAGTTGTTTTATGATAATATAATTAGTTTTATACAATCCAATTAAGTGGCCTTTCAAGGGTATTTACTTACGTCAAGGGTTTTTACTTTAGCCAAATCGTCAAAATGGCTTCGATGAGAAACTACCTTTAGTCTATACTTTACAAACTTCTTTGGAAGCTTCGTAAGTTGTCAAAAAGTTACTTTCACAATCTCGCTGACTATACTTTTTCTATTGAATTATTTTGAATTTCGATTTTTTTTTTTATAGGTTTACAGCAGGATTACACAAAAAAAATTATGGAATAGAATTTGTCCAATGAAATGTTGTAAACTATGTATACCCCATGCATAACTTGAAATATAAGGCTCATTTTCCAATACTAGTACTTGTCTCAGGGTAAGATATGCAATGGCGAACCTATGTGACTCACTTAAATGTGCTACTAAAGTCCAGCAAGTGAGAGAATGGAACTCTTGCTGGTGGCTCATGCTGGGTGTATTGACCCTTCGTGACATGGCCTCTCTCTTTTTGTTAATTTTTATTGTTTATTTTATTTAGAAGGAAACATTTTAATACATTTAGCAAAAACAAACAATGAATCATCATTTTTTTGAGGATGATAATAAAGATTAAGATCCGATTTTGTTTCATGAAAATATTCAAGTTTTTCAAAAAAAAAAAAAAGTAGGACGGCTGTCCTATTTATATGTTTTGGATTTAATAAAATAGACTACTGTCTTGGCCCGAGCGATGTCGTTTTCTTTGCTCTTTGCGATGAAGAAGAAGCAATCCCAAACCCAACATAAAATAAATGATTTTTTGTTCTCGCGTAGAATGGTGTGCGTGATTTGTAACACAAAAAGCAAAAGCTCGCATTGCGTCCTCAGTTGTGAGCTTGTTATATATTTTTAAATTAGCTTTAAATTTTTGTTTCAAAATTCTATTGTAATAACATAAAAGGTAGTTTTGACAAGGTTTGTAAAGATTTAACTAAAGTGTCACCTGTAAAAATCTCAAAGCAATTACTTTATACGTATGACGGACTACATTGCCCCCAGGTCTTTTACAATTCTAAGTCAATTTTAGCTTGTACCCGGGTATTTTAAAATTTTTGAGTGTAGAATAGCTGGAGGCTGCTTTATTATGGAGGTATTGTTATCCATCATATAAGGTAATATTAAGCAAAAACTACAACTTCGATTTCAGTTTTAAGTTTTATTTTTTGTTGCACGGTATTAAGGTTTATTAATAATTAATATTAATACAGTAATATTTGTTCGACACGAATTCCTTTTGAAATAATAAAATAATAAAATAACCAGCCGCATTATTTGTTTTTCATAGATTTTCTTTAAAATGATATTAATATTGAGTAACAAAAAACAATTGAACAAAAATTGTTGCACACCTTTTCCCATAAAGATTTCTATATATGTTATTTCTGTTATTACTATCAAGTAAAATGACATTCGATAATGATGAATCTCCACAAATAATTATTTGTAAAACAATTGCATATAAATAGCTTCATTTTTTTCCTAATAATAATATTGATCAATTAATCATGGAATCTGAAAAAAATAATAAAGATTTTAATCCAACTCAAGAAGCTCAAACTAAAACATCTGTTCCGCCACTTCCATCAAAAGATATACTTGTTAAACATTCCAATACTTGTAAAGGGACATCTGAGGAAAATCAAAATTGCGTTACTTCTGATGAAGATACACTTGATCCATTTAAACTTTTTTCTCATTTAGTCTTGTTGAATCAATTCAAGAAACTTGAATTAGAAGATGAAAAGATTGATGCTAGATATTTGCTTCGTGCAATCAATCGTTACATTTTATGGTTGAGGATGTTGAATGAACAAGAAGAGAAAGAAAATTTACCAATTCCACCAATTGATGTCTGTTACATTTGGCACTCTCATTGCTTGTCACCAATCAATTATTATGAAGATACTTATAGGCTGCATAACATAAATCTTAGTTACTATTATATTCCTTTAGAAAAAATGGTAATGATTTGACTTTTTTTTTGCTGGTGAAAAAATTAATAAATTAATTATTATTATTCCTTAATTGATTAAATTAATTATTAATTTCTTAGCTTAATGTTTGGTTGACAAATGATAATTATGAACACATTGACCAACAATCCAAGGTTTTGTGGGAAAACTATACAAAAATGCCATGGATTCTTGATCCTAATGATGATTCTGATTTTATTCTTGTGTGTCCTTGGTGTAATGATTCAAATTTTGTCAAATGGTAATTAATTTTAAACAACAACAACAACAACAACAACAACAACAACAATAATAATAATAATGATAATAATAATAATAATAATAATAATAACAATAAGTAATCTAAAATATTTTTAACTCCCACAATTTAATATTAATAGGGACAAATATGTTGATTTAGTAAGAAACCCAAACGATGAATCTTCATCAGTTATGTGCAATAAATGTAAAGTTATTTTAACTCCAAACAATTTATCAGCTAAAAGATTTCTGGATGACATTAATGATTGTATTAGCCACACAGCGAATAAATATACCAGGTATAAAATCAAATTAAACATTGTCAATATTAATTAAAATTTATTAATTATCTACCTATCTATCTATCTATAGTGGAACATTGTTTAATCATAGAATTGGTGAAATTGATGCAGAAGCTGCAAGTGATGATATTGATTTGCTTTTTTCATCAGCTGTTATGCATAAAGTTCCTAAATTAAAAGAACTTTTGGAATCATCAAAAGACAGTTCTTTAAGTTGTAATTGGGAAAATATCAGCCAATACTTGTCAGAATCAATTGCCTATCTAAAGAAAGAGAAACAATTTAAATTATTAAATAATACTATAGTTGAAAAAGTCATTATATCTTACAAAGATAATATCTTTCCATTTGCTTTCAGCCTATTGGATGCAGTCAACAGACAAAGAAAATTCACTCACAAAATGGTAGTCAATTGCTGTCATTGGATTTGTAATTATCAAATACAAAATAATGCTATTAAAAAATATGAATGTTTCATGAAATTGATTGGTAAGAATCCATATAAATGCATTGTACCAACATTAGATATTGATTTAGCATGGCATACACACATGTTGAATCCAAAATTTTATAAAAAATATACAATGGAAAAAACCAAAAGATTTATCAATCATGATGATAGTATAGAAGATCAAGTCATTGATAAATCATTTAAGGAGACTTGCAAACTATGGTACAAGGAATTTGATGAACTTTATACCAATACAGTTAAACCTTCTGATTATTTATTCAGTAAGAAACAAAAAATCCTTGGAGTTTTAGCATTCCCTTTTGGTGCTTACATGCTTACTGAAACTACAAAGGTTACTGAAGTCTATAAAAAATCAAAAGTTGGTGGATGTGCAATTAGCAATAATACTGGAACAAGAATAGTGAAACCATCTAGAAGTTTTTTCAAGAGCCGTGGCAGTAATAGTAAGAGTAGCAACATTAATAGTAGTAATGGTAATAATTTTATTTTTGTTAGTGGTGATGGTGGTGGTGGTGGTGGATGCAGTGGTGGTGATGGTGGTGGTGGTTGTGGTGGTGGTTGTGGTGGTTGTGGCGGTTGTGGTGGTTGTGGTGGTTGTGGTTAAATACAATAGTATTTTATTAAATATTCATTAAAGTTGACATTTTCTTCTTTTTATATAATTGAGTCTCTGTTATTATTCTATTGAAGTTCTGATTTGGCACTGTTAATTAGTTAAAAAATGTGTTGGGTATGGACACTAAAAGTTGTGTTATATTGATATCACTGCATCTTTAAAGTATTTTTAAAACCATGTTTGATTAATTTTATATTCACCTAATTAAACATTTCAACATCATTCATGTTTCCCATAAAAATTATTTAGTTTATTCAGTAGAGATTGAATATTGAATAATTCCAACGGCTCAAAATCATAATCATATGATGCAAATAGTTTAAAGACTTCCCGCAATTTGTGCAATCATTAAAAGAGTATAATTCGGTGTATATGCAATGCTTTGAAACTTTAACTCTATTCATTGAATGTATTCATATGGTGCTGCCAGTCTAAAGATAATATTTACTGTGGCAAAGCCTGAAAAATTTATCCCTTGAATGGTCAAACAATAAATTTCGGATTTTTTAATGCATTGGAAGCTTCCAATAACATTGTAATTGTAATTGGAAGTTCTATTGGAGTGGTTCGGAAGTTTGGAAGTCACAGGCTTTATCCGGCCAATAAAATTCCAAAAAAATAATAAGAAGAAGAGTAGACTCTGTATTGTAATTTATTTTGTAATGATGATGAGAATAATGGTAGTTATGATGACAGTGAAAATGATATTGATGATGAAAACATTGGCATAGAAGAAAGTGGTGATAATGATAATTAAAGTGATAATACTGAAGATGATACAGTAATTCTTTTTTAATTAGATTAGAGGTTGGATAAAATCGAATTTAATAAAACCAGTTTGATATTAAGAAAATTAACGACTCAGTATGGTGTAATTCTTGCAGAGATTAACACCATATTGATGTCTGTATATATCAGCCAGCCAAGGAATTTATTTTACACGGCTTAGCCGAGTAATTAGATTAAACTGGATTTGTTTGGTTAATCAGGTTTATTTTAAGAAACTGTGAACATTTCAATTTGTTTCCTCCTAAAGATCTTTAATTTTGTTTTAGTATATATTAAAGAATTTTTAAATTGATTGATCCAAGTTTTGTATGTTTATTTACGATTTCATGTTATTATTACTATTACGTTTATTCGTTGTAAAATCAATCTCGTTTAAACGAATCTAAGAAAATTGCATTTAGACAAAATTCGTTGTAACGCGAATTTAATTACAATTCGTTGAAACGATTATTATATTATGTAGCAATAGCGTCACGAGAACAGTGCAGGTAAATACAGTAATAAAGTACGCGTTTTTATATATACATATAACAGTCGTGTGACATGTCCTTTCAAATTCAGTCAGGAATATTTCCATAGATGGAAATACTAAATACCGTAATGATCGATGGTATGAAAAATTCTAGAAGAAATTCTGATTGGCT